TGTAGTCCCTCAGCCATTTTGGCAGGATTCCCAGGTAAAGCAGGGCCATCTCACAAATATCTGTGGGTGCAGATTTATTTAGGAAGTCGAGGGAAGACTCACAGAGTTTATTTCAGCGAAGTACCAGCTTGGATTGTAAGGGACATGGGAACTACAAATTGAATGAGGCTCTAGAAAACCCAAAATTCTACTGGAAGAAAGCAGGATGATGAAAGCACCCAGAAGCAAGCACATGCTGTCTTTTCAAGGAAGGAAGATTCAGGAAGTGGAACTAAGAGCCCAGAAGGCAGAGCCATGAACTAGGGAAAATTATGGCCAGGCCTTGAAACTTAATTGAGCACACCCCTTGCCCCCAGCACCTCCCAATACCTGTCTGGCTAGCTTTCAGAATTTCTATGGAGCAGAGGTTACATTTCCCCCTTTTCAACAGAAATGTCCATAGCAGGTACCCTCTGCCTGTCCCCCCATTGCATGTTGGGTACGTTGGTCACAGATAACTTATCTCTCATGTTGACAGGCTGAGAGGAACCACATGGAGGGAACTTTAATCACATTTGGGCCTGATTTACATGATAAAAGTTCTGGCATTTGGTGAAATGATTTAATGGCATAAAATGTTAGGGGTCCTTGGGAGTGGGTAAGATGCATTTTGCATGTTGAAGGGATGTGAATGACTGAGGGACTGGTAATCTACAGACTATGTCAGAAACTCTCAGATGACTGCAATGATCCCTGAGTTCTGGTATCCATGTCCTGTGTAAGCTCCCCTCTTGAGTGCAGACAGGAAATGTGACTTATTTCCAACCAAGGGAATATGCAAGCTGATGGCATGTCAACTTGTGGTGACGTTATATAAGAGTGTATATACCCTTGGGTCCCCTGACTCTCCCACCCCATCTTGCAAGGAGATACTCCTCCTTACTAGATTTGAGGAAGTAAGTGACCATGATGAGGAAGCTTATTTGGCAAATAATTGAGGGCAGACTCTGGCTAACAACTAATAAGAAACCAAAGTCCTCAGTTTGAAAGCCCACGAGGAACTGAATGCTGACAATAACCACCTTGATCTTGGAAGTAAATCCTTCCCTACTTGAGCCTAAGATGAGATTGCATGGAAGACAGTATGGAGTTTCCTTAAAAAACTGAAAATGGAACTCCCATTTGACCCTGTGATCCCACTTCTAGGACTATATCCCAAGAAACCAGAAACACCAATCAGAAAGGATATATGCACCCCTATGTTCATAGCAGCACAATTCACCATAGCTAAGATCTGGAAACAGCTTAAGTGCCCATCAGTAGATGAATGGATTAGAAAACTGTGGTACATCTACACGATGGAATACTATGCTGCTCTAAAAAGGAAGGAACTCTTACCATTTGCAACGTCATGGATGGAACTGGAGAGCATTATGCTAAGTGAAATAAGCCAGTCAATGAAGGAAAAATACCACATGATCTCACTCATTCATGGATAATAGAGACCATTATAAACTTTTGAACAATAATAGATACAGAGGCAGAGCTGCCTCAAACAGATTGTCAAACTGCAGCGGGAAGGCCGGGGAGGGTTGCGGGGCAGGAGGTATGGGGGTAAGAGATCAACTAAAGGACTTGTATGCATGCATATAAGCATAACCAGTGGACCTAAGACATTGGGGGATAGGGGAGGCTAGGGGACTGTCTAGGGCGGGGGGATAAAATGGACACATATGTAATACCCTTTGTAATACTTTAAGCAATAAATTTAAAAAAAAGAAAAGAAAAAGATGAGATTGCATCTCTGGCCCAGCAGAGAACCCAGGTAAGTCATAATGAATTGCCTGGTGACTGAGGCTGAGAAACTAAAAAAAAAATGTATGTGGTTTTTTAAGCCTTGAAGTTTTTGGAACTGTTGTTACAGAGCAGGAGAAAGCTAATACCGATCATGACATTTGCCTTTGGAGAATATTCACACAAATGGCCATGGCTTCATCTTTATTGGTGGCTTCTTTGGAAATCAAGTTTCTACACAGTTCCTGGAACTTGTGAAAATCATTTCTGGGTAATTTAGAACAGATAAACAAAGTGTCCATACCTTTTAGAGTACATGTAAAAAAATAAGTTAGATATTTTCTTTATCTATTACTTCAGAAAAAGTGATATGAATATTTCTGAGATTTTTGTTGCAATAAAGTTCCCATTGATTTATTCCCCATATGGGAGATTTTGTCTCAAGTGAAAAATCATTACCGCTAAGCCTGAATTTAACATAGGGACATGTTTGGGGAGAATCAGTCTATTGGCTGCAATCTCTCAGAAGTTCTTTAGGGTTGTTGGAGTTTAAATACACATAACATCACTGTTTTAATGGTTGTGGATGCTTCTTCCTTTGGCCTTTTGTTCCTTCTAATGGAGACCAGGTTTCCTTTAATCTTCAGTTTAATTCTAAAAAGTCTGTAATGGATAGTATTCCTTTATATTACTTAGATGGGGAGACCTCCAACCTCCTACAGAATATGGCAAACCTAAGAATTATTTGCTTGTGAAGACCAAGAAAGAAATATCATGTTCTTGGTTTTTCTGGTTTTCATTAACCTCTTGCTAAGCCACTAGAAAGGCTATTCAATAGGAAGGCTTCAGTTTTATAAAAATCTTACATAGTCCCTATTCTTAACACCCATCCATTTATTACTTAAATCCAAATTTCCTCCATTAACCAAATGTTCATTTAGCCCAAATGAGCATTTCTTCTGAAAAAAAAAAAAAAAGAACATTTGAATGTAAGTCCTCCAAACACTATCCATTCTGACCTTTTTCTAAAAGCAAAGCTTTAAGAACAATCGCAAATGGGTACTGAACATACATATATGTTTACCAGAGTTAAACAGCTTTTTGCTTCCTGGTTGCTTAGCCCAGGAAAGGTGACCACAGGTGTGGGACGTGTGGAGGTGCCGTGATTCTAACAGTAGCTTCACACAGATGAAGGTGGCTTTACCTGAGTGGACTGTATTCTATGACAATATATAGCATTTTAAAATGGAATTTATTGGGGTGACATTAGTTCACAAAACCATACAGGTTTCAAGTGTACAACTCAATAAAATATCATCTGAACACTGTATCATGTACCCATTGCCCCAAGCAAAGTCTTTCCATCCCCATATGATCCCCCTTTGCCCACCTCCACTTACCCTTCTACCCCCTTTTCCCTCTGGCTATTACCACACTGTGGTCTGTGTCTATGTGTTGTGTTGTGTGTGTGTGTGTGTGTGTGTGTGTGTGTGTGTGTGTTTTGCTTAATCCCTTCACCTTCTTTCATCCAGTCCCCTAACCACCCTTCCCTGTGACAGCTGTCAAGCTGTCATTCTATTCCAGGTATTTATACCTCTGTTTCTATTTTTGTTTGTCAGGTTATTTTTTTCATTAGATTCCACATATATGTGAGATCATATGGTATTTGTCTTTCTCTGACTGGCTTACTATCAACCAAATTTTTTTAAAAAATATATTTTATTGATTTTTTACAGAGAGGAAGGGAGAGAGATAGAGAGTTAGAAACATCGATGAGAGAGAAACATCGATCAGCTGCCTCCTGCACATCTCCTACTGGGGATGTGCCCACAACCCAGGTACCTGCCCTTGACCGGAATCAAACCCGGGACCTTTCAGTCCGCAGGCCGACGCTCTATCCACTGAGCCAAACCGGTTTCGGCAACTATCAACCAAATTTAAATCTTACCAGGCTTAGAAATAGCAGGGAGACTGCTCTCCCATAATCAGCTTTCTCACCAACTAATGTTAGCTCAGAAATGATATACTTTCCCAAGAGTATCTTGGGGGAACTACTTAAAAAATGACCAACCCTGCATTGCAGAAATCAGCTTTCATGTTCCTCTGAGTTGAAAGGAATAAAATCTTAATTGGTAATTTAGGAACACAGTGAAGAAAGAAAATATGATTTTGTCTGGTTGTTTTGAGGTTGTAATAAATATATAGTAGAGGATTATCTGTATAGTAAGACTTTATGTAAGTATAATATATAAATATTACATTGTCTATATAAATATTTACCACATAACAAATGACTGCACACAGTATTTTATGAGGTTCCCAGTGAATCCATATCACTAGATATAAGCCTTACTACATTTTAATTAAAAGGTATTGAAAGTCATTTTCTTTCACATGGGACTAATACAATAAGTTTATGGGAGTATGGCAGAGTAAGAACCCTGAAAGTGATGTGAAAATTACCTACTTGGATATTCTCCAACGACCATAAACGGAAATGTACTTTAAATATGCAAGAGAGAGTGAAATACCACAACTGTAGATTTTATGAGGCCAAAATCAAATGTCTGATTCTATAAAAACCAACAAACTGTTAAATGCAAGACTGAACTGAAATGTCCCCAGGACATGCTGAAAGCTTAAAATACACACAGGAAAGACTGTCCCACCCTGGGTCCTACCGTAGCTGCAACGAGGGTATCCGTTAATAGAAGAGTGTGTACTAGTTACAGATATAACCAAAACCTTGACTATTTCCCCACCTATGCTCCAGCTGCTTAGTATAGTTCTGATGGAGAACTTCACTTCATCTGGCCAGTACATCTGGACCCAGGACGGCCTTTGCTCCTACAGGGAACTGTAGGTTTTGAGACTGGGACAGCTGGATTCCAACAAACGCAAGCTTTCTCCAGCAAACTCACTTGCTGAGTCCCCAGGGAGGCCAGCACAGACAGGGGCAGGGTGCCCACTGTCCCTGGAGCTCCACCCTGTTGGGAATTGCTCAGTGGAGAGAACCACACAGGGACCACAGCAGCCCAGGGAAGCTGTCAACTCGAGGTTTTGGTCAACATTTAAGGGTGTCAGGAAAAGCAGAGGACAGTTCAGCTCAACAGAAAGGGATGCTACAGATAAGCTAAGCTGGATCCAAAACTAAAGCCACAGGGAACCGACCGCACCAGAATGACAGTAAGTGTGAAGACGGCGATGCTGGGCAGAGCGGTCCGTACCTTTCCTCTCGGTTCTGTCCCACGCACACCCTGCCCCCATGCCGGGGCGTGGGGTTGCTGCAGGACCGCTGGCGCACCTGGAAGCCGATCCCACAGGTGGTGCTGCAGGGAGACCAGGAGGTCCAGGGGGTCCAGCCTCCATTCCTGGGGGGAAGAAGCAATGCGGTCACTGAGTCACACTGGCTCAGAGTCCATCCCCATCTGCACCCACCTCCCAATACAGGTGCTCCCCCACATGGACCACGGATTACGGGGTGGGAGGAGAAAGGGAACCGGGGCCATGGGACTGAAGGTACTGCATCCTGGGGATCTGTTACTGTGAGATTTTTCTCCCTGGTATCAGATGTCAGAGTCCGGGTAAGAAATTTAAGAGTGACATTTTAAGCGCACTATAAAGAATTCAAAATGGGCTGTATTAGAAACTATTAAGAAACTTTAATTTTGAAAAAGTAAATCTAAAAAGCAATGTTAATTCATTGAAAAGCAATTAGAGATGAATCCCCTAAACTTTAGGATGTATACTTTCACTTGACTTGTGCTATTTCAGTTATAATTTAAAGTACACATATAAACAAAATAATTATCTAAACCTATACATAATGCTTACTTTTAAGATCAATGAAAATCAGTAATTCTCTTGGTAGCATTCATATTGATATAGGACACAGTAACATTTAAAACAAACTTTATTAAAAATGAATGAAGGCTATTTTAAATTCAGATTCTTGGCTATTTTCTTATAATTTGACAAAAATAAAGAATATAAAGACTGCAAATTGTGTTTATCTGAATTTGTTATATATATATGGATAGGCAATAAGGTGGAGATAGTAAAAGATAAAAAAAATGAACCACTTTTATAAAATATAAAATTCTACTGTGGTCATGGTGCCATAGGTGCCGGGGATGGAGGAGATAATTGCGTATGGCTGTAAAAGAAAATCAAACCAACAGCAACAACAGAACACTAAGCAGAAGACTTGGAACCTACTCAATGGATCAAGCTGTTTGAGCATACCTCCGGGTTACCCAGCATTGAATCTTACAGAGCTGGGCATTGGGCGCTCAGATATCCTATAGAGCAGAGAGCCTTTGGACTTGGATTTGGCTTCTTCTCTCTCAGCTACTGCCACATAGCAGTGGACAGATTCCACACAGGTGCCCTGAGGACTGAGCTAGCCTTCTTCCAGCTGCTGAGAGGCTTGGTGGCTATTGCTCAGCTGAGAGGATCTAGCCCACCACGGGTCGTCTAACCCATCAAGGGTCGTCCCAACTACAGATTTCCCCCAAGAACAGTTAAGTCCTTTATTGGTCCTGAACACAAATCTCGTGTCACAGCGGCACTCCTGACCATCTCAGGAAAAACACAGGTTTTGTTCCTGAAGTTCCATAAGGGAAGGCATAGGTTAGACAACTGGAAGGCTGCAGAGACTCAATGCATTTAGATGACAAACTCCTGTCAAGGCTCGTGGCTTTCCCTTGATCTCCAACCTTTTGATTACCTAGTTATATTTTTTAATCAATCAATCATCTTTCCCTTTCCCCCTCCCCATTCCCTCTCTCCCTCCCTGATAAGAATTAGAATTCAGAAGTGACATAATATCATAAGGATGTACATTTAAATGTTCATTTTAATGATAAAATAAAACCATATTTCCCCAATCAATAGTAAGTCTGACTTGGCCCTGGTTTGACAGTAAAGTCTGGCTTAACTAATTAATTTATATTGTGGATTTCTTTCATAAATTGAATGTCTTTAATCCTGCTGCTCCAAGGTTTTGAGAAAACATATTTAAATGTGATGAGATAACGCATATAACCAAAAATATTATACTTGTAAAATGTATTAAATTAGCAACATTTCGAATTTTCAAACATTTTTTGAGTGTGTTGGGTTAAACAAGGTGCCTATACATAAGAATAACAGATTGAATTTAGAATCATTTGAATGGTCGTCTTAAAGGCTCTTTGATGTACTTTGCACAAATTGAAAAGTATTTGACAGTACTGACTAAGCAAAAAATTCCATTTGCAAATTAGGTGGTTTCCAGTGTTTTACTTCCAATAAAATCAAAGGCCAGCATAAACAGTTTATTAACTAATACAGGACATTACAAAAGTATTTGATGTTAGCTTATCATGATTTTGGCAGATAATTTTGAAAAAAAAAACAGGGAAGTGAGTGACAGTGCTGACCTTACATTTCCAACCACTTATGTAATTAAGATCCATCCAAACTTAGAACTAGAAAAATAAAACATAAAGATGGAATTGGTGTAAAGCCCTGTCCGATTCAGGTGCATTCATGCCTGAATAGGAACAATAATTGGGAATTAGAAACAATGGCATTAAGGAATGGAATTCCAATAAAATCTCAGTTTTCAATGTGAAGTAATTATTAGTTAAAATGTGCGATATCCATGATAACAGAGTGCCTTCCCCTGGTTCACCTAGGAGGTTGGCTGACCAGCTGCCAGAGCATCACATCTGCATTGTGTGAACCTCTCCTAGGTGTGCATGTTAGCAGGCCTGAGGGACAGGGACCTGGGGCACCCTGTTTACAAGAACAGCCATATCACAGTTTCATGCGTCTGCCTAACTTTGATCTGAGACTTGCTTTTATTCTCAGGAACCACCTAATGGCAAGGTAGAAGGGTGGGGCCTACAACTCTCCCTTGTAACCACTGGGGGTCACTGATGCTGTCAACAGAAAGAGACAGTTGTGAAGAGCCAAGTGGATTGGCCAGCCCATAACAAATGGACCGGACCAGACCGTGTTGTCTAATAAGGGACAACTAGTCTAATATTCCAGAAAAAGACTGTCATTGACATGGACGTTTTCCTCAAACAAGCCAATAATATTGTGCACATGAGCAATGTTTTTTTTTAATCTAATGAGGGAAACAAGAACAGGATCAGATTTATAATCTACTTTAGAGTTTAAAATCTCCTTCCATAGACAACGCAGTTTTGAAGTGGTAAGTGTCTCTGTCTTTTTCTGCCTTTCTCTTGAGGCGGGAAGATACACATTAGGAATGATTTCCCAAACTCCTCTGCAGTCAGAGTTCACACGTGAAAGCAGGCCTGAGTGCTGGGAGCCACGCACCTGGAGCAGTTGGTGATCTCCATGCGGGGGCCTGTGCACTGCCAGCCGCCACACTGGGGGGCCGGGCTGTCACAAGCACGGGTGCGACAGAGGCAGGTTCCCACGGCGCTGCCATCCGTGTGCGTGCAGGGCGTCCACGGGGACCACGCACCGAAGTGCCCATCCACCGTGAGATTCCTCGTCTAGGAAGCAGATACAAGAAGGATGTCAGAAAGGGTTAAGGCTGCAAACATAAAGAAAACATAAAAACTCTTACAAGACAATCAGAAACCATTTAGAATATTTTATATTATAATAAAGATGGATGAACGGGGGGAATAATTCAAAGTAAAGCATCAGAAGTCATCGGTGAGGATGATGATGGAGACAGTGGGGGAGGGGAAAGAAGGCAGAAGAGGAGAAGAAGGAAATGGAGGAGGAAAAGAAGAGAGAGGAGCAGGAAGAGGGGAGGGAATTTTCAGGGTGCTAATAGCTTGACCATCAGGTGATGGCAGAATTATCCACTAATGTGAGAAGACCAAGGAACAAGAATTGCAGTGAAAAACCACAGATGTACAATTCTGCTACATTTGTATATAGATTGGCCCCCCTGGCTGGGGCGTATCCTGTTCAAGGGCATGGCTTCTAGTGTCCACACAACCCTGGCATGGATGCCTCCTCTCCCCAGGAGGCACAAAGGATGTGGACAGTATTCATGCATAAAGCCCAGGTAGATTCTTGTTAAGCGACATTACAGGTCATGCAGGACATATGTACATATTTTTCGAATCATGCTAGATATGGCGATTTAGATCTTGCTCAAGAGTTCAAATCTATTAAACTGAGAACAATGTTTTAATCACATTTATATAAACACACAGAACTGTAGTCAAAAGTTAGTCAACTATTGCCCTATCTCCTGGACAACAGAAATTTATGAACATTTTTAAATAGAGACTGTGAGGTGGAAAAATGGGTCTTAAGTTGCTAAGTGCCTGGGAAGGTTCTGGGGTCCCATTGGCAACTTGATCTCTCTGGAGAGCAGAGGTTCTAAGCAGCAAATGGCAGCCTATGCCTGAGGCGTGGCTGGAAAACTAACTCAGCAGCTGTTTGTCCAAGGTTTGTGAAGACTTACAAGGTGGGTTCCCCAGAGGGTGTGGTATCAATCTCAGCACATTCATCACCCCTCTAACCTTGAGCTCCATGGAACAGGACCTTCTCTCATTACTCAACTGGATATAAGATGCACTGGTCTCATTCAAAAATCCCTCAGCTTATAAAGCTTAATGTCATTGGGCTAAATATATGTAGATAAACAAAGAAATGTACTTTGCTGATTAAAAGATTTAATGTATGTTTACATTTCTGAAATCAGTTGGCATCTTGCTATCCATGGAAGCATTTTTTTTTCTTTAAAATAGTAGTATACTTCATGATCAATGACATATCAGAAATGATGAAATATGGTAGATTTGGTGAGTAAAATTAAGCTTTTCTTCCACTTCAGTCAAAACTAAAAAATAACATAAAAGCAAATTACATTTTTAATAGACTTTCAAAATACCTCTCTAAGAATGCTCTAAATAAATGTTAATAATTTTCATCTAGTTCATTTCTTTCTAAGAAATAGATTGTTAGAAAAGAATACATAATTAAAATAGTAGTTGGGTTATTCAAAACTCATTTTTCTACATGGTAGCCTTCATATATGAGAAAATACATTGTTTTATTTCCTGGTTATTGCTCAGTGACATAATTTATTCTCTGTTGTTAGATGCTTTCCATATTGTTAACTTATTAAAAGTGTATCTTGAATATGACATTATATAGGGTGAGATGATAGGGATGGTTTTATATAAGAAAATCACCTCAAACAAGAAAAAAAAAGGACCTTGTTATGTGTTTTCTGGACAGTGAATCAGTGATTACATCTCAGGTATAATTTTACAACAGAGGAGGTGGAGGGACAGCTCCAACCCCAGGGCAGATGTACATCACCCTCCTCCTTTCCTGAGTTTAAAACAAAAATGTTCCTCTCAGTAGCACTGACAACTTTAGTAACAACCCTCTGGTCATTTCTCAAATATTGGATCAACTCCATTTCTTTTTATGTTGTTGCTTTTCAATTGATTTCAGAGAGAGGAAGGGGGAGGGAGGGAGAGAGAGAGAGAGAGAGAGAGAGAGAGAGAGAGAGAGAGAGAGAGAGAGAGAGAGAAACATCAATGATGAGAGAGAATCATTGATAGGCTGCCTCCTGCACTCCCCCTACTGGGGATCAAGCTCACAACCTGGGCATGTGACCTGATTGGGAATGGAAATGTGATCTCCTGGTTCATGACTCGACACACAACTACTGAGCCACACCAGCTGGGCTCATCTCTATTTTCTTACTGTAGAAATATACCGGACACATATTTGTCATAAACCAAGTGGCAGCATGTGTATTTTCCATTTCACAAGTAAGCATGCCTCAGATATTTAATAAAACCACGATGAGTCCCAGACCGATGGCCTTACTGCTTAAGAAGAACTGCTATTGCCCTTGCCGGTTTTGCTCAGTGGTTAGAGCACTGGCCCTCAGACTGTAGGATATGTGTTTGATTCTGGTCAAGGGCATGTACCTCGGTTGCAGTTTGGGCAAGTGTGGGAGGCAACCAATGGGTGTGTCTCTCTCATGTTAGTGGTTCTCCCTTTCTGCGTCTCCCCCTTCCTTTCACTCTTTCTTAAAAAAAAAGAAAATCAATGGAAAAAATATCCTGTGGTCAGGATTAACAACAGCAACAAAAGAACTGCTATCATTAAAATGTCAAGGTCAAATATCTAGAAGAAGGTGTGCTGATTCTTGTAAAGTATACATAGTACATTAGAATGGCATTTCAGAGAATCCGTGTTGCTTTCTTTGACCCTTGGTGGGTGGCTCATTTGGTTGGAGCATCGTCTCAAGCACTAGAAGGTCGCAGGTTGAACTCCTGGTCAGGGTACACAGCTAGGTTGCAGGTTTGATGCCTGATTGTGGTGCTTATGGGAGGCAAGAGATCAATGTTTCTCCCTCACATTGATGTTTCTCCCTCTCTCCCTCTCTCTCTAAAATCAATAAAAACATAATCTCAGTGAGGATTTTAAAAAAAGGAAGGTGAACACCATTGTGCTTCTTGAGCGTTGTTCAGAAATGAAAAGGGACTTCTTTCAAGAAACATGCAGAAAAAGTTGCTTCTAAAATCAGAGATCTGAAGCTATCACCCAAAGGACTATCAGCTAACCCTCTTGCAAAGATCTGCTTGAAGCCCAGATGAGGTTATACATTCATCTCGTGCCAACACCTGGGGAAGGACACTGGTTTTCATAGCCCTGGCCTTCGACTTGTCATTCTGTCTGTTTTCCCACTTACAAATGGAAGGACAGTCTTAATGCACACAGGTTTAGATAAGAGACTTAGCAAGTTCCTTGACAGGATGCAGACCCAAAGTTCACATGCCTCAGGCAGTTCTGTATTGAAGCAACAGCACTGATTTCAAATAACGAATGTGGTGCTTCTCTTCTCAGCCCTGTCTCACAGAGGAATGCCAGAGCTGACAGTCACAGAGAACAGCGGTTACATGACAGCAAAGTAACTTAATAAATTTGCAAATGTGTGGAAGCTAATACCTGTTAATCATATTCCCTGAGAGAGAAAAAAGACAAATAAAAAAAAGCAGCTGGTTCTTAGAAGTGAGGACCCAAATAAATATACTAGCAATAGAAAATGTGGAATCGGTTCTCTTGGATTCAGAGTCTGACTCCAAATGCAAGTGAGCTGCTCTTCATTCTGCAGAATTCACTGTGGGAATGTACATTAGGCTGTCTCTCCCAGACCTTGCTGTGACCCTGAGCAGGATCTACAAGACTGTCCCACATGGGGCTCTATGGTAATAGCCTTTAGTTCATTCTTTTAAAAGCTCTACTTATCTTGGCTTCTGGAACCATAGCTCCCAAGGGAAATTGATGGGTGTGGGAGGTACTATTTTATTAATGCTACAAAGGGTACAATGGTTCACACCAAACTCTGGAGATAAAAATCCAAGACTAAAACAGAGATATTACACCCCATTTTTCAAACCAGCACTGTTTCCTCTAAGATACTTCTCATCAAAACAGACAAAAAGCTTATGCCAGTATCCCATGTGGCTCTCATGCAAGGGGAGAGCTAAATAAGTTAAGAGAGCACAGACAGGGTGTGCAGGAAAGGGTCTAAGATAAAAATGCATGGACGTCATTAAAGGGCTGGTTAGTGACTGAGGACAGGGTGCTCAGAGGTCCGAGAGCACAGACACTTACAGGACAGGTGGAGAGGGGCTGCTCCCACTGAGTCATGCTCAGGCTCTCCTCCAGGCTGGTGCACTTCTTCATCACCACATCCCAGCCACAGTAGGGGTCCTGGGCCCCGATGCAGGCACTGCAAACACACACCCACGGATCAACAGAGAGGCAGCTTAACTAAACAAAGATGCAGACTAAGGCAAGCCTAACTCTTCTAACTTCACATGGGAACTAGTTATGCAAAACAAAGTTTCAGTTTGCACATGAGAGAACATAGCTATCTGTACACACTTGCAAGTATCCAACTAAAATTAAATAACTGATTTTCATTGAAACACCTGTATTTTTTTCTAAGATAGAGGGCAGACAACGAAATGACTATCTGTACCAATGTGAGCCTTTTGGTGTTATCAACAGAGCTAAAGTTGGAATTTTGCAATGCTCAAAAACACTAGTTGTTGTTATCACCACCACCACCATTGCCATGACCACCAGCATCCCCTTAATAATAGGTATTCTTTGTTGAAAACCTACTGTGATATGTCAAATTATTCCATTTAGACACAAACAACTTTTATAGGGAGGTATTATTGTTATCATTTTTATGATCACCATAATCATCATCACCACCACTATCTTTATCATCATCACTATCATCAACACCTTAGTAAAAGACATTATTTGTTGAACACCTATTGTGGTATAACAGGTTCTTATATCATTTAGACACCTAAAAAACTCCAACAAGGGAGGTATTGATGAAACAGCGAAGAAAACAGACACAAAATTTATAAAATTGGCCCAAGGACAAGCAAATACACTCCAAACCCTGCAATGTGGTTAGTTCAAATTTAATAAAATGAGTATGTCTTCCTTTTCAGTACTATGGCTTAAAATGAATACAAAATATCAGTTTAATAATAGTTTAATATAGCTGTCTACAATATTCTACATATTATTCAGAAGTATTGTGGACAGTGGATATTTTATTTTGACTTTGCTCCAATGACAGAGTTCATGCACAACCTGGCAAAAACAGGCATAGTCACTGTACTTAGAGAACTTAGTTCTTAGTAAAGGGGAAAAAACATTAAACAATTATGCGATAAATACCACAGCCAATTGCAAAGAAAAAACCACAGGAAAACAAAGTCAAACTGCTCTTGTACATGTGCTCTGCTCCTAGGAAACTGAGCAAAACTGCTGGCTGCCTAATGCAGAGCTAAGGAGAGCTAAGGAACACTAAGGAGAGCTAAGAGCCTACACTATTGGAAGGACTATGGAATATTTTTAGTACACCTTCTTCTTAAAAACATATTCTCCATTGTAATAACAATTTATAATATAATATGATTAAATAATCTCTACATATAAAACCCTAATATGCAAATACACCGAATGGTGGAACAGCCAAACAACCAGTCACTATGACATTCACTGACCACTAGGGCGCGTGTGTGGAATATGGAAGGCATTGGCAGCAGGCAGCAGAGTGAGGAACATGGTGGGCATCAGCTGCGGCAGGATGGTGGAGCAGGTGAGCAGGGGCGCCAGACCAAGGCAGGGCACCAGTTGGTGTCATCAAGGCTAGCCTCTGGTGGTTACTGAAAATTCTTTGCTCCTGTGGGCCGTGGTCCTGCCTGCCGCTCACACCTGCTGCTGGCACCCAGCAGCAGCTTCAATCACTCAGTGCCGTCAGTGGGTGCGAGCGGCAGCTGCTGGCCCCGATCACCACTCAGGGCTTCACCTCCCCCTGCACCTGAGGGGTGATCGGAGCAGCAGCCACCACTCGCACCTGCTGATGGTGCCGGCCCCAATTGCTCCGTGCTGGGAGCGGAGCTGCTGGCAGAGAGGGGACCTGGGGCTGCAGTGGGAGGGGCCAGGCAGGGGCATGAAGGATGGGCGGAGACCCGCCCCTGTGCACACCACAGGCTCAGGGCCCACAGTTCCTTGCAAGGTGCATGAATTTGTGCACTGGGGCCCTAGTATAAATAATAATATGAATACATTAACATTTTGGCCAAAGAGGAAAAGAAAAAAAAAATTAAAGCACCCCAACCATGGTTGTAGGGGAAGAGAGTGGGCATAGCAGAGGCAGGGGCAGCCGTGGCATCTCTACAAGATGGCACTTATATTTTATTTGCTTTTATTGTCCACCTGGATCAAGATGTATGTTTGTATCATTGCCAGAGGTGGATTTACAATGAAGCCAAAGCAGCTTTACTTCCTGAAGTTTTTATTTCTTCAGTTCATGAGGCCCTTTAAGGCACCGCAATTAAACCCAGTCATTTGGCACTTATAATTTGATATTCTTTTCTTGAGTGAGAACTGTCCCCAAATGGTATAAGCTTCAGGCCCCACAACACCTACATTTCTCCCTATTACAGAACATTAGCATGCCTTCTGTTTCTGAATCCACAAGTCAAGCGCACCTTCTACACATTTTATCCATTCCTCTTCCAGCCTCCCCTGGGCCCGGGGATTTACTGTGACTTTGCTAGAAGACACTGGGTTCCAGCCCCAGCCCACCTTAGACCCCTATGCAAGGTGCTCTTCACAATCGTAATGAGCCTGGTGATGAATGCACTTTGTCTTTCCCCCTTCTACTTTTTAAACAGTTGTAATGATGACATACACATAATGGGTTCCTTTTTCCAATTACTATCACGTCACAGATGTCTTCATAGCCATCATTTAATGGCTTCAGAATAACCCACTGAGCAAATAATTGACTGAATACGTATATCATAACTTGTTGATTCATTCCCTCACTATTGGAAATTTGGGACTGGAACACTGGGAGTGATTCCAAGACAACTGTAAAAGTAATTGGACAGGGATGTCAGGCTCAGTGATTAGGTCCTCATGTAGTCCATCTGAGATCAGCTGTAATGATAAATTGATCTGGGGATAAACTCTAAGGTAACTCCAAGGCCCGTTGGCTCAAATCAACAATAGATATTCTGGAGATTTTATTTATGCCAGAATTTCTCATTAGATTCTGAGCCCCATGACAGGGTCAGGGCTGCCTCATTTGTCATCATCCACTCAGGGCCTGGCTTGGTGCTTGGCACATTTTAAGTTCAATAAATATACTAGCAATGAGTTAACTAAGGAAAATGGCCAGTCTTTAGAGGCCACACCAATGCCAACACAAACAAAAACTCAAGACGTTGAGATTTGAAAAATATTAAATTCATATGAAAGGGAGAATAGTTTGTAAAATGAGTACATGTCAAAATGTCTTTCTGAATGCTTATGTGATTCATACCTGAATGGCCAAGGTTGTCTTGCTGGGGACATGTGGGGATCCTGCAATGTCTTTCTGTAGGTGTATATTTCTCCCATTGGGCAGATGCAGTCTTTAGATAATATGTAATTAATAACAGTGCCAACCAATTAACTCCACCTTTTAAAAATTTTCCCTTTCAAGCCATGTCTTAATTTCCATACTAATTTTCTTAATAATGAAACTATCATTTAGTTTCTTTAACTAAATGATAACTAGTACAGGTTGACTGGATTAAGGATAATTAGATACCAATGCCCCAATAGAGCCAAGCTCCTTATTTTAATGGTTTCATCCACACACACACACACCCCAGTTTTATAAAGCAACATTTAAAAGGCATGTGTCTTCTGTTTTATTTATAGGCTATGATTCATCCAGTATTCAGCTTTGCTCCTCTTCCCAGTTAGTTTTTATAATAAAACACAAACAAAACAAAACAAACACCTAAGGCCCAAGGGTTTCCAATCTTTTGGCTAATGTTTTATATCACTACTCTTCTCTGTAAAGGGGTTTTACTGTTCCACAAGAACTGAGGTTTTCTCTTTAGGTTATTAAGTAAATAGCAGGTCAGGACGCATGCCCAGGCTGCAGGCTCAGTCCCCCCCGGGGGGGGGGGGGTGTGTCTGTGCAGAAGGCAGTCAATCAGTGATTCTCTCTCATCATTAATATTTCTCTCTCTCTCTCTCTCTCTCTCTCTCTCTCTCTCTCTCTCTCTCTCTCCCCCACCCCTTCCTCTCTGAAATCAATAATAATTTCTTTTTTAAAAAAAGAAGTAAATAGAAGAGAGGAAAGAGGCAGAGAACCAAAGATGAAGCCTGGGCCATAGGTGTAGCAACTCCCAGCTCTGAACCTGGGCTTCATGTCACTAGAGCCACGTGACCTTGAGCAGGACACCAAAAATCGAAGCCACTATTTCTTCATTTGAAAAATGGAGATAATATATGACTTAACACTCAGGGTATATGATTGACATGATAAAATGATCAAGTGGTGATAAAATCCAGCACAATGCCAAACATATAAAAGTTGTGGAATTGTATGAATTGTTATCATTTATACAAGTTCATCAAACTATGCATTGCCTTTGAAGAAAAGGCATTCTAAGAAATGAAAAATGGGAATATGATTACTTAAGCTCAATTTTTCTTCTTAAACACTTCTAAATTCATTAATTAAATTGAGTTTCTAGTAGCAGCTAAAATGACTTACATTCTACTACAGAAAGTTTATTTAAAGAAGAGATCAGTAACCTCCTGTTACTCAATTATTATTCTGTTCCTATTTTGTGTAATTCCCTAGGCATACTTCTGGAAAATCAACATTGCTTTTGTCAAAACAGACAAACAAACAAACAAAAACAAAAAACAATTCCCCCACATAATTCATATAAAGAAAATCTGGTCACAAAGATATTAGTTTCTTAAAAATTGATTTTTTTTCCCCCAGTTAATTTTCACTAGGGAGATTTTTTTGTCTTTCTATAGGAGGATGGCAGAGAAACATTGGAAAGAATCCAGAGAAACTCTTGAATTAAAATATTTTCTTTTCGCAAGTGGAATTGCTAAGGGTCAGACCCAAACTACCCCCCACTGAGAGTGGGCACACAGAGACCACAGTCCATCGATCTACAGTGAAGTCACAGTCTCACTCTGCTTTCCTCTGAGCGAGTGGACGAGTAACCAGCAGGGAAACAGCTCTGGATATAATAGTAAAATCTTCCCTCTGCAGGAGCCTGATGATGACAGAAAAGTGGCCTTAATTTCTTCGACAGAAAGAGGGAGCTGTGAACTTCTCCCTGGCCACAGTGACTGGTGGCAGCGGCTCCTGTGGATTCATGACCAGCCTTGAAGTGCAGTCGTGTAAGAGGCGTGAGAGGGAAGATGAGGCCTGGCTTCTGGGATCTGATGCAGGACTTGGCTTCCTTCCCTACAAGGAGCTGAGCACCAGGAACCCAGGTCCAATGAAGGGAATCGCCATGAGAGGATGAATGGCCTCATGCATTGCAAGCCATGAACTCCCACTGTGGCACCAAAAACACCTGACATACAGCACAGGCCTGTGTCTTTGTGCACAGTAATCAGGGTCACTCCCGAACAAGTCACTGTTGGATCTCAGAGCTCATGGGGATGGAGCTGCAAGACTGGTGCCCTTCTAATGCATTCTGATGTGTGACATGTCTGTTAGCAAGACTCCAACTCTCTCTGTCTGTCCCCCACTGAGTCATCAGCAACTGGCAGAATAATCTCTGGCTTCAATTAGTCCGGCAGGGAACACAAATCCAAACAAGTTTTAAGCAATCATTGGTTAATGTTAGGGAAAAGGTGCTCTATAAAAGATAGCTGGTAATAAATATCACCATCCAGTATTAATGCTCGCAATAGCATTGTTATTAGATAGAAGGTCCCTAATGTTATTTCTCAACACTCTATTACCAATGAAGGTATGATAGTACAGACTTCATTTTCTAGAATCATCCAGAAGGAGATACTGCAATACATAAAACCTTCCTTCTACACTTTGCAGAGTGCTTTATATTTTTCACTCTGCACATTATTCCATTTTATTCTACAGTAATTTGCATGTTAGGTAAGAAAGTGGGGTGTAAAATACTGTAGTGACCAGATCAAGAAACACCATGTGCAGGTCTGTAATGTCACTCCTGGCCTCTGAACCCAAAGCTAGTGCCACGGGTGCCTGGTTTGAGAAACAATGACCTGTGTATGGTGTTTGTGAGTAATATATCTAAACATCCACTTCTACACCAAGTCTGCACCGATGCCCTATTTGGGGGACTTGTATTAATAAGAGCCCGGATCCCTATGGACATTGAAGCTTATGATTTCCCCAGGGCCAATCTTGTACCAGGGGCCAGAGCATTTATGCAGCATTCCAACATTACACTGCTGGTCAAATGTATGGTGTACACGGAAACTTGCAGCTTCCCAAGCATATGGGCCTGCATTTTCACAAACTGAGCTTCAAGTAGCACTGGGTCAATAGTGGATACCACATTGTGGGTGAGCAGACTGGCCGAGACAGTGAGGAAAGGTGTGCTGGTACATGGGTTTTCCAGAGCCTGGAGAAACTCCCTTCTCCTTCCCTCCTCCCAGCAGCCTGGGTGAATCTGGAGCCTCTGGAGAGGGACAGCATCCCTAGAGAGCGAGTGCCCAGGACAGAACCATGAGGACTGCCCAGAGAGGGGGTGCCATTGCCACTTGGGGGGATTAACTTTGGGTTAAGAGGATGCATACTTCATATTGTTCAGATACCTATATTCTAACATATAGAAAATATGTACACTCACACACATACACATATTCACACGCACACATGCATTACACAAATAAAATGAAACTTGTGCCAAATTAATGCAGGAATGCCAATGACCAGCATTATCACTGAGTGTCCTAAGGCGCTGAGTAATTTGTTGTAGCCCTGACAGTTGCTTGCAGATGTAATAATATGGATCCTCCTCCACAGACACTGGTGGGTTATGTTCATCACAGTAAATCAGTTTTCTTCAAAACCCTCTGCATCCTGGGTGTCGGGACACAGAGACGTTTAGGCCCGGCTGCTGTTCAACCCCAGGGAATGTGAAGGCCTCTGGCTCTCCTGTGCCTTCTCCCAGGAGGCACAGTGTGCAGGATCGACCTGGGGCTGCCCTACCTGCGGGTGCGGTGGAACGGGCACCTCTTCAGCGGGATCCTGGCCACGTGCTCCCGCAGGCCCACGAACAGGACGCTCTGGCTGTGCAGGATCTGCAGGCTCCGGATGGGCTCCCCCCGCCTCTCCGGGAAGAGCTCGATCTCTTCCAGCACACAGCTCCCCGAGGTCGCAGTCAGGGGTGCCCGCACCTTCTTAATGGTGCCATAATCTGCAAAGGCAACAGGGAAGGAAGGACATAAGGTCAGTGGGCTTATCAGCCTGGCTGCTCAGAGAATCGTCTGAAGAGCTTTGAAGATGCTGTTGCTGGGGCCCCAACCCAGACCTAGCCAATTAGCCGCATTGGGTGTGGGCCTGGGCACCAGGCATTTTTACTGCTCTCAGCAAACCTACCATGCAGCCAGGGAAGAGAACACTCAGCTACCATCTGCCTCGTCCTGGAGCAAGTCTGGAGACTGGAGCTTACTGCAGCTCGAAGGAGCCACCCACCCCCTGTGGACCATCAGGTGAAAGAAATTCTAAGAGACAATCTTTGGTTTCCAGTGTCAGAGGTCCTGACTTTGCCACCCCAGGAAGGCAGATGCCAGGCCATGGGCAACTGCAAATCTGCAGGACAGTGAAGGCTGCCCCTTTTCCATCCTGCCCTTCTCTATCCCCTTCCTCCCAGCTTACATCAACCCCTTCCTCTTTAGCTCTGATGTTCTTCTTGGTGATGCTTTTCTTGGTCTCAACTCCCCAAAGCCTTCTTCCCTGTACGATAAGCATCCATCGCTAAGCTGGACCCTGCAGTTCCACCTGCAGTTTTTCTGCTCACTACATGTGTCTGCTCACTTATTTATAAGCACTGCCCAAGGATGAGTGTCCCTGACCACGAAGACTCCCCAGATTGGCTGTGAGGGACACGGAAGAAGGGCCTTTCAGCCAGTGAGGGGGTCAATGCCATGTGTCAGGGACACCTACTTAAAATACATGCTACTGTCCCTGGATCTAGGCCCCTGCTATCAACCTGCAAACCCAGTTCGTGAACCCAACCATCTAGAAGCACCTCCCCAACATGTCATCAATTCCTCAAGTCATCCTGAAGGCATTGACTGAATAAAACCCAGCAGGGTCCAAGGTTTCCAACATCCTTCTTCTGCACACAGAAAAGGAGGATAAGAAGTGACCTAAACCCAAAAGTAAGTCATAACCCTTTGGCTCCAAGGCCTCCTGTCAATCTTTAATCTTGGAAGGCTCTGGACAGAAAATACTTCCAGTTTTTTTGTTTTCGTGGAAGTCCTTAGAGATGTTTACTTTTATAGAGAAAAGATGTTTACATTTAAAGGAAAAAATACTTATGCAGACATATGTTGTTCTGAATTTATTTAAAAATGGCTATCTGAAACATCTCCTTCGAACATGTATTATGAACTGACTACAAAATAATACATGCACCATTAGTAAACTATTACTTAATTTTGTTTTAAGCTAGCTGGTTAAATGTGTTTGAGAAAGTTCAAGCATAAAAGCATAATTCTGTGGTATGCTGGGATGATTAAAAACACAGTATCTGTCTTTGCAGGGGCGGGGGGAGTATGTGTTTGTGAGTAGGAGAGAAAGAGAGGGGGCGGGGGGGGGAGATGGAGAGAGGGGGCAGTCTGTGGAACAAGCAGGCAGACATTTTAATAAATACATGATACATAGATTTGTGCTGAAGAAAATGTGTATGACTTTACTGTGCAAGTCAACTTAACTTTGACTTGGAAATTGCAGTTCCCAGCTGGTGGGGAATTCGCCTTCATTGACTCAGGGTCTTCCTGCCCGGCATAGTGCAAAGCATGAATAAACACAAGGCATCAAGGCAGTGACCAGGACAAGGTGGGAGTTTCAGGAAGGTGAGTGAGCAGCGATGTTTCAGCCACAGCACCCTGAGAGGAGGTCCTCACCAGCAGAGGGAGGTGACAGCCTCCTGTGGAGCAGTGACAGGGACATCAGGAAACACTGAGCCAGTGGATGGCAAGGCTCTCATAGGAGCACTGTCATCCACTGGGTGGCATTGATGGCAAGGCTCCTATGAGAGCTTAAATAAGAGACTCTTGGGGCAAAACAGAGCATTTTATAGCAATGGAGGAGTGGGGTGGGGAGGGGACAAAGGTGAGGGGAGTTCACCTGGCGAACCCTCATCTTCTGTCTGTTACTACAGTATTTTCACAGGAAACACAGCTTATAGAACTAAATCCTATGCAACAGCTGAGCAAAGACCCCTTACTGCTTATGTATACATGTATTTTTGGTAGATTATTACTCTGAGAAACCTGCCTAAATAATTATTCAAATGTCAATACACTGACATGCATTTCAAACTCTTAAGCAACTGCACGTAAAAATTTTCAAAAAGATCTTTAATAAAATAACTTCAAAGAAATAACCATCACAGATCAAAACTTTCCAGCATATTTTCTGCACATCGGGATCTGGTGTTCCGGCTGACCTGGAAGTGACAACATCGTGGGACTTAGAAGCACCTCAGAGAGTGGTGCTTGGTGTGGAATTAAGAGGTGGCCCACGTCCTCTGCCTTTGCTGGGTCTCCTCCTCCTGAAGCATCTGATCCCATGAGGAGCCTTCTGAAGCCCCTCCCTCCCGTGGCACCAGGGTCAGCACCTGTGGAACTCCCTTCCCCACAGCACTTATGAAGCTCTTTAGGTTTCTTAAAGCCTCTCCTTCTTTCTTCTGCACTTTGTTCTCGCTCCATGGCCAGAACACTGTCGCCTTAGTGTAGAACACCTTTCTCACCTGGATGTCTCCAGAATATTCACTCTACTCCCCTTACCGAGTCTGAAGTGACCGTCAGGGGACACACGACCACGTTGTCTCCTGCCTCAGGCCTTCTGCATGAGGTGCAGGCACCATCTGAGTCATCCATGGGCCTTGCTTTAGCCTGTGTGTCTCTTAACCTTCCGCTCCCCTCCCCCTCATCTCTCTGTGCTGGTCACCAGGGGGCGCTTGCAGCACAGCGAGCCTACAATTGCCCTGGTCCCTGCAAAAGCAGGTCCTTTGCCTGAAGTGGCCTCCCAGCCACCCTGCTCTGAAGCCTGCTGTCCTTGTGTCCCAGTTCAGATGGCTGACAGTCTTCTCTGGCCCCTCCGCACACTCCCAGGCACAAGTTTCCTCCTGTGGTTCCCATAACACCCAAGTCAGGGCATTCTCCCACCACTGACTCCTCTTTCTACAAGGGACATCTCCCATGGGCAGGGATGGGATCTTGTTCTTTCCATCTCAGGGGTCTGGTCTGGTGCCTGGCACATAATAGGTGCTCAACTTCCTTAAAGAATTATTAATCGTGATTATATAGAAATTATTTAAAATTAAGATATAATCAACATATGACATTGTGTACAATGTGTTTAAGGCAGGTAATGTGTTGATTTGAGACATTTGTTACATATACAAATGGGTAAATTTGAAACAAAATAACCAAGAAATTTCAAAATATTCCAAGGAATATAATTCTCCTTGAATAAATTAAATCAAATAAAGAAAAAGAAAGCCTGAGTAATTCTCCATTTCAGAGAAGAGTGGGTTTAAGGCAGCGGTTCTCAACCTGTGGGTCGCGACCCCTTTGGGGGTCAAACAACCCTTTCACAGGGGTCGCCTAAGACCATCGGACAACACATATATAATTACATATTGTTTTTGTGATTAATCACTATGCTTTAATTATGTTCCATTTATAACAATGAAAATACATCCTGCATATTAGATATTTACATTATGATTCATAACAGTAGCAAAATTACAGTTATGAAGTAGCAACGAAAATAATTTTATGGTTTGGGGTCACCACAACATGAGGAACTGTATTAAAGGGTCGCGACATTAGGAAGGTTGAGAACCACTGGTTTAAGGCGTGACATTTCTAAACCCCACAACACTAATGACACCACTATACTAAAGTAGAAATGTAATCAGGGACTCTGGAGAGGATACTTAGAATCCCCACCAGCCAGCACCTTGAAGGGTAGGCAGTGCATCAAACCTTCTATGCTCTATCAGGCTCCAGTCCAATGTCCTCCCCTCCTTATTCAACACAAGGCTGAAGCGCACTTGCTCTGGACAAGGATGTGACAGAGTCATTGTTTCTTTCTTGGCAGAAGGGCAGGGTCAGATCATGAAAGAGACCAATGATTTGCACAACAATGGGACCTTCAGAGCACTTCATTTGTTGTTGTTTTGCTTTATAACACATACCACAGTTTAATTGCTAATTCACTTGTATTGTGACTTCCACATTGACCTTAATCTCCATGGGGGAGAGGAGGGGAGGGGAGGGAAAAGAAGGGGACATGTCAACTACTAAAAATGGTATGGACACAAATCTGAGAGTCACATATTTATAGTTTATCTCTCAAACTGAACACTATAAACATTCACTGGGAAAGAAACAGAGCTACAACAGGATTTTGAAAACTGGTCAAAAGCTGAGAAAACAAATGACCCTGAACTACCTTCATATAGAAAGGTGGAGGTGATGGGATCTCTCATCAAACACCGCTGGAATGATCAACACGTTAAAGCTAATGCAAACAGGAATAAAAACTAACCAATTGTTTCAAAATAAAGCTAACATGCATAGAAAAGCACAGGTGGCTATCTTAATGTACACATCAAAAAATATAGACCACCTTCATTTTCTGAATTCAGTCCCTTTTCTGAATCATTCACTTGGGACAATGAGTGATCTCATTGGTAGGGCCACCTCCAATGCAAATCATGTACCATCATTTTGTTTTCTAAACTACAATTTCAAATGGTCACAGGACATTAAAATTGGAAGGGACCCACAAAAATATTTTGAATTTGGCAGGTGAGAAAAGCAAAGCCCAGAAAGGTTGAATTAGAAAGATCAGACTATTGGGCCAGCATTTAGGTCCTCTTCATATTAATCAAGGACTGGTTTCTGTACCTTCAGAGGCATTTTTGTTTTGAAAGCATGTAAAGATATTATTCAACTCCCATAAAGGTGAGTCAGTAATGGTATAGCAGCTGATGACTTCCTAAAAGATCAGGTGGACTGATAAAACAGTGTACTCAATGGCAGTTGTTATTCAAGGCAAAGATTAAGCCATGCTTTATAAACATGTGCTTATCTTATGGAATTCAAAACACAGATAATTAATGTATAAGTGGGGCCAAGCCCAGGACAGATCTGACTTCTCTATCAGGCTTGAGGC